TTGCTGCGTCTGGGGGTGCTCCGGTTCGGGGTGCTGAGCAGTCTCTCACACCACAGCAGCTTCGTGACTGGTACGTCCGGCGCTTTCGCCGTCCTAGTGGCTCGGCTGGAGCTGGGGGTACTGGAGCTGCCGGGACTGGTTGTTCTGGGAGCACTACGACTGGAGCTGCTGGAGCTGGGGACTCTGGAGCTGGCGGCGCTAGCGGAGTTGTAGCTGCCGACTCTGGGGGTGCTCTTCCTTGCGGTGCTGCGGACCCTGGGGGTGGTGCTGCTGCTGGTGCTGCGGACCCACCTGGTGGAGCTACTGCTGGAACTGAGGACCCGAGCGGTGGCGCTGCTGCTGGTGCTGGGGACCCGGCCGCTGGAGTCTCTTCTGCTTCTGGAGACGCTGCGCGGCCGCGGCCGTACTTCGTACCGCTCCTTCAGCAGGTTCTTGGGCAGGCTCCTCCTCCTTGTCCTCCTCCCTCCGTAGAGTGTCCTCCGACTGTCCAGCCGCAGTCACAGTTACCGCCTGCCTCGCCTCTCCCTGCTCCCTCTCCTTACACTGGTCCCACAGGAGGTCTTACAGAGCGTCGTGAGCCTGAGTCTCGTCCTGCGTTGCCTGTCCGTACTGCTCGCACTGGTCGTCGTGTCCGTCGTGAGCGTCCTCCTCCTGTCCCAGGCACTCACTACATGACTCTGCGTCCCTCTACTGCTCCTCAGCGTGTCCCTCTGCCGTCTCCTCCTGCGTCCTCTTTGCCTGCTGTTCCGGACCCTGAGTCTGACCGGTATCGTGCTGAGCACCCTACTGTCACGCGTCTCCTAGCTACTGTTGTCACTGACCCTACCTTTGAGTCCTCGGCTGCGTCTGCTCTGGTCGCTGAGTTGGTTGACTTTGCTGCTGCCTGTCGTCTAGACTACGCTGCTCGCCTTGTTGCTGGGTCTGAGTCTGCGTCTGTCTGTCCTCCGTCCGTCGGGGGTGAGTGTGCTCTTGGCACGGACGTCCTTGAGGACAGGCAGGAGGACTTTGACTCTCTCGCGGCTGCTGTACCTCATCTCGTGGCCTGGTTGCTTGCCCCTGAGGGAGACCCGGATGCACTAGACATCCCCACTCCGCGCACTTACGCAGAGGCGATCTCGGGTCCCTACTCCTCTCAGTGGCAGACAGCCATGGACGCAGAGATGGCATCCTGGAAGTCCACAGGCACCTACGTCGACGAGGTTCCCCCTCCTGGGGCGAACATCGTCGATGGCATGTGGATTTTCAGGGTGAAGCGGCCGCCAGGTTCTCCGCCTGTCTTCAAGGCTCGTTACGTTGCTAGAGGCTTCAGTCAGCGTCAGGGGGTCGACTTCTTCCAGACCTTCTCCCCCACCCCGAAGATGACCACTCTTCGGGTTCTGCTGCACGTTGCTGCTCAGCGTGACTACGAGCTTCACTCTCTTGACTTCAGCACAGCGTTCCTGCAGGGCAGCCTGCACGAGGAGATCTGGCTGCGCCGCCCACCTGGCTTTACTGGGTCGTTTCCTCCTGGTACCCAGTGGAGCCTCCGCCGGCCAGTCTACGGTCTCCGCCAGGCGCCACGCGAGTGGCACGACACACTGAGGACTACACTTGCGGCTCTTGGGTTCGCGCCGTCTACTGCTGACCCGTCGCTGTTTCTGCGCACAGACACGTCGCTGCCGCCGTTCTACATTCTCGTGTACATCGACGACTTGGTCTTTGCCACTGCTGACACTGAGGCACTCGCTCGTGTGAAGTCGGAGCTGCAGAAGAGACACACCTGCACTGACCTGGGTGAGCTGCGTAGCTACCTTGGCTTGCAGATCACCCGGGACAGAGCTCGCCGCACCATCACCCTGACTCAGTCACACATGGTGCAGCAGGTCCTTCAGCGCTTTGGCTTCCAGTTCTCCTCACCACAGGCCACACCTCTGGCTACCAGCCACTCGCTCTCAGCTCCACCTCCGGACGAGTCCGTAGAGCCGAGTGGCCCGTACCCAGAGCTTGTGGGCTGCCTCATGTACCTGATGACTTGCACGCGACCTGACCTCGCGTACCCTCTTAGCATCCTTGCTCGTTACGTTGCGCCTGGGAGACACAGGCGAGAGCACTGGGAGGCTGCTAAGAGGGTGCTGCGCTACTTGTGCAGTACATCAGGCATGGGGCTGGTGCTTGGAGGACGCGACAGAGTTGTCCTCACTGGCCACTCGGACGCTTCTTGGGTGGACGACCTGGCTACGCAGCGGTCGTCACAGGGTTACACCTTCAGCCTTGGCTCTGGTTCTGTCTCGTGGCGGTCCACCCGCTCTTCCTCTGTTCTCGGCTCTAGTTGTGAGGCTGAGATCTACGCCACAGCCATGGCTGCACAGGAGTTACGCTGGCTCACCTACCTGCTGACTGACTTGGGAGAGCGGCCTAGTTCTCCTCCAGTTCTGTACGGTGACAACAAGGCGGCTCTTGCCTTGTGTCAGGAGCACAGACTGGAGCACAGGACGAAGCACATTGCTCTTCGCTACTTTCTTGCTCGAGAGCTTCAGCAGCGCGGTCAGCTTCGGCTTGTGTACGTGGACTCGAAGGCCAACACTGCTGATATCTTCACCAAGGCGCTCCCGCCTAGTGATCATCAGCGGCACTGTACTTCTTTAGGCCTTGTGTCCACGTTTCCTCACTTGCTCACTGCTTGACATTCTTTGTACTGTACTTTATATATATCTTGTTACTTGCTTGCTAGGTTTTGATCACTGTGTTGTTTGTCTTGTACTATATCTAGCACTGCATGTGAACTGGCCTTGTGGCCTTTACTTGTGCTCGGAGTGTGGTGACGTTGTGATCCACCCTGGGCTTTGCTTTGCTTTGCTGGACTGGTCTTGTGACCCTTTGTTCTCCCCCACTTTGCCTATGGGGGTGTGTTAAACTGTATTATGCTTGTAGGCTGTAGTGGGGTAGCCAATATGGGGTACAACCCCAACTAGGGTTTCATATTTGTACCCAAACTTCTGCTAGTTCATTCATTCTTGCCTAGTTACTTTGAGAATCTCGTAAGGCTGTGCCCCACTCCTTCCACGTGCGTATCTTGGTCACACCGAAGATCGACTCTGCCACTTGATTAGTCACTGTTGAGGTCCCGTCTGCCGCATGTGTCACACCTGTCGGGGTCCCCGTGTCCAAGGTTCGTCGCCACCACTCAAGCGCTGCGCCCCGAAGAAGCGAAACCGCGTAATTAATACGCGTGGCATCGTCATTAACACCTGCTGCAGTGAAGAAGACTTCAACACCGAATAGCCACCCCTTCACTGTGGTAGTTTTGTCGGTAGGGTTGAACGGGGGTGAGTTGACGGGTTTAATCTTGATCGTCGTTACTGCAATTGGTGTAGCTGTCGCGCGCTGCCTATCTTCTTCTTCGAAGTCACGTGTGAGCGCATCCAGCGGATTGCTCAACGCTTAACTGTTGCCCTCGACTTCGTCCTCGGGCGACTCCTGCCGCGCTTCACCTCGCGGCTGGCGTAGCTCAGCGTTTTCCTCTCGTAACATTGTCACTTCAGCCGAGTGTCTTTACTGTTGCCTGCAGTGCTGCCATCTGTGCTAGCATGTCGTTCAGCTTCTCCTGATCCGTGACTCGCACACTTCGTCTGGTGGGCAGAGGGGTATCCGTGACCTTCAGGCAAAACGGAAAACACGAACTATCGGATTTGGACAGGACTGAATTAACAAACCTTGCAGCCAACCGTCGTGTAGTCCACTATACCAGCCACACTCGTGCCACCAAACTACCCTCGAAAAGCGGGGTGAACTAGGAAAGTAGCTCTGATACCAGGTGTTATGAGTTGTAAAAGGGAGTGCGCAGATTAACGAATAACGAGACTGTGATTGCACGAACTGGGAATACAATGAAAGCACGTGCTGAGTCTGAAAATCGGGGCTGTACGCGAAGGAGTCAACCCCGATAAGGAATTCGGAAAAATACCTTATAGCGTCTGACTCCCAACCACAAACTGGGTAACCACCCAAAGGAAAGTGATATACCTTTGCCTCCACCCCCCTCGTAGACCAATCAAATGGCGGTTTGTTTGCTCTATCCTGCAGACGGACGTGAGTATGGAGTTGACAGAGTTCACTACCCAACTACAGCAGCACCCGCTTGGCTGGAGTAGCCAAGCCGCGCTTTAGGGTTCTGCTGCGTCTCCTAAGCGTCGATGTTGACGGCACGGAGGGACCAACTTCGATAAGTGTTTTATAAGACGTCATTATGAGAGGTCCCAAAACCGCGCTGCGAGTAGGGACTAAAACCACTGAGTGGGTGGGACTAAACGTGACTGCTCGCTAGTGACAGTACCCTAGATCACTGCAAAGTTGTTTCTTACTGGCTGTCCCAGACCCGCAAACGAAACCCTAATTTCCTTCTGACCGACTGACAGCGAGGGCTGGTGGTGACATACCGGAAGTAGCTGCCAAAAAGGAAGCCTAGAGTGTCTCTCTTATCATTCTTATTTCTCTTAATACTTTGTTTTTCCATTTATTGGCTTATTTCGAAAATGCCGCACGCATTTTCTGGGCCGGCGGCGATGCCCTCCGCACCGTCCGATCCCGCCGACGATGCCACCAGCAGCGGCGACTTGGGTCGCGCGGAGATTAAAGACAGCCCACGTCATCATGACGTCACCAACATACCTCCGCGACCGTCTCCTTCCAACGGCCGTCGCCATCCGCCGGAAGTTCTCCATCTGCACTTACCGAGTCCGCGATCCGGACCCGCTACTAACGCGTACGATTTATCCGGCGAGTCGGAACGATCTCCCAGCGTCCATTCTACAACGGGAGAATCCCCGCAAAACTCGGCCACTTTCCTCCGCCTTACCTCCGTTTCGTCCAAACACTCCTCCGTCTCCTCCTCCCCCATCCCCAGCCCCATCGGCGCTTCGCCTTCCCCCTCCGCCTTCTCCGTCTCCTCCGCTTCCTCCTCCTTCTCCTCCCGTCCTCGAACCGCGCCCAGCAAGCGGGGCCAGTACAGCCGTTCGATCTCCATGGGCGCCGGTATGGCGAGAGCCGTCGGATCTGTCACGAGCCATCATCAAGTGGACAATAACGATATCTACGCATTCTGTCCGCTCGCGACTTCCGCGGGCGGCATCCCCACGCCACGCTCCCATAGATTAAGCGAGTCAGGCCTCCCCGGGTCGCGCTCGTTCTCGTCTACGATTGGTATACCCGCGGCGCGGTCTACCGTGGAGCCTCTTAAACTCGGGCCACTTATCTCCGCGGTCGCGAGCGGTAGCGAAGAGGAGATTCGCGACGCGGTTTACTGCGTCAGGCGAGCGCTCAAGGGCTGCCCGGAAAACAAAGAAAGGCTGATTCGGTCAGGAGGAATACCTTTTCTGGTCAGTCTTATGAAAGTTCCTGATCCACTGACAGTGGAGCATGCGGTCACGGCAATTTTCAACATCTGCCGGATGGAAGCCGGGCAGAAGGAAATTTTCTCTGAGGGGGGGTTGGAGGCGCTGGTGGACGTTCTCCGGGCAGAAGAAAACAACGAAGCTGCCCGGGAAAACGCGGCGGCGGCGATTTTCTGCCTGGCGAACACGGAAGAGCGAAAGCAGGTGGTTACAGAGAGAGGGGCGTTGCAGCCGCTGGTGGGATTGCTGCAGACTAGTAGTTTGAGAGGGCAGAGAGATGCCATACTCACCATGTGGAGTTTGGTTAGGTTTCTCTGTGCGTGCGCTCTTTATGGCTGCCCGAGTGATACAGCACGGGGTGATGCAACAGGAGCATCAGTAGCCACAGCAGAAGTAGGAAGAGGAGCTGGGGAGGCGGAGGAGGAGAGAAGCAACGGTTCTGCAGTGGCAGCAGGTGAATCAGGAAGCAGCAGAGGGGAGAGTGGGGAGGAAAGCAGGGAGTGTAATAAGGAGGGCAAGGAGCAGGGCGGAGAGAGGTCTGAACCTGTGGAAAAGCCCCTCACCATCGCTGCTTTCCTCGCCACTGGTGCTGTGCCCGTTCTCATCGGGCTCTTACAATCGTCGGATCAAGGGCTGGAGGAGCGATCAATGGCCATCCTTTCTCTCCTCTCCAAGTTCCCCGAAGGTCGACGGGCAATCTGGGAAGCGAATGGCGTGGAGGGGGTTTGTGATGTGCTGGAGATGTCGTCGCAGCGGGCTAAAGAGGAAGCAGTGGCAACGCTATTACGAATGGCTGGAAGTGACGCGGCGGTTAAGGCGGTTCTGGTTAGGGAAGGGGTGATTCCGGCGCTGTATAAGATTCATAAGGAGAGCGAGGGGAATGCGAAGGTGAAGGCTCAGACTCTGCTTGACATGCTACGGAGCAGCGGAAAGTGATTGTTAAGTTGAAGTGAAAATTCGAGCTGGTTTACAAACCACCCTGCTGCTAGCCCAGTACAAGACCTGTTCATGTACTGTAGTGAGGGGTGAAGGCACAGATTCTGCTTGACATGTCGCGGACTACCGGAAAATGATATAGAGTTATCTACTAATTCTTGGCACTGTAGTGTATAAGAGTGACAGTGGGTCAGGCAGGGTGAGGAAGGGGCATTCGAATCTTCCTCTTCGCTTTCTCAGGACCGAGAAAGTGACTTAGTCTATCTTGGTCGACTCAAAGGGATTTCAGCTTTTCTACTGTGTATGAGCGACAAAAGGCAGGCAGGTTTGATGGTTTAAGGTTCTCTCGTCTTAGCCTTCCACTTGTTCATTGGGAGTGAGAAGAGAATGTTTTGCTAAAGCAGCTGTTCTGGTGATAGGCATTTCTGATGAATTGTCAAGGGATCTAACTGGTGTGCAGTACTTGCAATGAAATTTAACTACATACCGTAATTCACTTTCGTAGTGTACATTTGTTTTGTACCATTCAAAATGGTGCAGCTAAAGATTCAACAGACACTGCCAAAACATGAACATACCAGTAAGCGCCAAAAATTGTCACTGACACTGTTCCTTCAAACTACACCCACTATACACACAGGAGTCTGCCTACAAAGAGGGAGATAAGCAAAGAGCCTTACCAGCAAGCACACACAACACCACAGTAGAGTCTCAGCTATTGTTGCATCAGCTGCAGCATGACCCACCATGTCTCAAAATGATTTGCCTTAACAGACTCGCAATGACCCTCCCTCCCTCACTCCTCGCTTCCCACTTGTCTCTCTCACTAACCCACATACCCACCCAACCATCTACAGTTTTATTCGATTTGGTCTCGGAACATAACACTTGGCACTTGTCGATAACCAAAACGGCACGGCACTCGGTCATTAACCACTCAACCAACAATGTTTCTGCCCTCTCTCCACTGTCCCTGCATCCCCTCAAAAACCCCCAGCCCCTCTCTCTGGCATTTTGCTAGAGACAGCAGTTCAAGCGAGACCATGAAGCGGGACTTGCTGGTCTGTCCTTCCCTCCTGTCCCTCCTGTCCGCTCCCTCCTGTCCCTCCTGTCCGCTCCCTCCTGTCCCCTCTCCTACCCTGCATTCCCTCCAGTCACACTCAGCACTTGGCACTCCCAGCGTCCTCCCGTTGAGCCAGAGGCAGCTCGAGAGAGACCATAAAGTGGGACTTGCCGGCCTCGCGAATGTACTGCACGTCGCCGTTCATCAGCTTCACAATCTTGCGGCAGATGCTCAGTCCCAGGCCCTCCTGGGACTTGCTGTGTGCGTCGGCTCGGTCAAACATCTGGTGGATCAGATCCTCTGGGAGGCCCTCTCCCGCGTGGCTCACCCTGGAAGAACAAGGGGGGAAGAAAGGGGAGAGGGTGGATGGATGCACAGGGGAAGCAGTGAGGAAGCAGCGGGGGGGAGGGGTTGGCAAGCAGAGCAAACAGGACGAGCATGGGCGAACCCAACAACACCATGGCTGCACTACAAGACTCATGGCTTATCGGCTTGACTCTTGATTTCCCGCTTGACGACAGTGACTCCTCCACGCAGCTTGCGGCATGGGCACAACCTTGACCTCCACCCAACCACCCACCAGTTGCTGACTAGCAAGACTCGCAGATGATCTCATTGACTGGGTTGACTGCATTGACCACGTTCACTCACTTGAATTCCAGCTTCACACCTGTCACTCCTCCCGGCAGCTCAGTGGGCATGGGCACCTTCTTGACCTCCATCCACCCACTGGCCGGGGTGAACTGCTTTTCATTGAGTTGACTGCATATACTCACTAGACCACATTGACTGCATTCACTCACTTGAACTCCAGCTTCACAACCGTCACTCCTCCCGGCAGCTTGGTGGGAGTGGGCACCACCTTGACCTCCACCCACCCACTGGCTGGAGTGAACTGCACGGCGTTGAGCAGGAAATCTGCCAGCACCTGCTGCAGCCGCACCTGTTTAATCAATTGGGAGGGAGAGGGCGTGAGAAAGACGGGAGGGGGAAGGAACAGGGAGGGCGAGAGGGGAGCAGAAGAGGCGGGTAAGTGGAGTGGGGGAAGGGAATGAGCAGGAAGTCTGTTAAAAATACCACAGTGGAGGAAGGGGAGGGAGGAATGGCTGAGGAGGGGGACGAGGTGGGTCAGGGGTGCTCGGATAGTTTGTGCCATGGGGGAGGGGAAGAGGGGAAGGAGGAAAGAGATCAAGAAATGCCTGAAAGAAAGAAAGAAAGAAAGAAAAAAACACACACACACACACACACACACACACACACACACACACACACACACACACACACACACACACACACCAGCAAAAAGAGTGGTAGCAGCACATGTAGACGGTTCTTGAGCGGGAAAATCGTGTCATGCAAATCTGCCCCACAGCCTTTGTTTTTGTTTCCATTTCGTGTTTTTCTTTTCTTTGCTATGCACTATAATATGGAGCTAAAAAAAGTGTTATCGGGTCTGAAGTGGCAATACGCACGATGTGTGAACTCAGGTGGGGTATCACAGAAGAGTTGCTTGCAGGCCCTTTCACTTTCTGAGGCGCCTCAGGGCATGCTTTCAGACACGTATCATGCATACCTGGTCGCCAAAGACGTTCATGGTCTTGAACTCCGGCGGGGTGTCACAGAAGAGCTGCAAGCCCTTGCGAGACGAGGAAATCATGCCCTGGCTGACCACGCTGTTCATCACCGTCGCCATCATGAACTCCGCTGTGTCCAGCTCGAGGTAGCTGTTGGAGCAGAGAGAGGGGGTGAAGAAGGGGAAGAGGGGGAGCAGAGAGAGGAGGAGATCATGCCCTGGCCGACCACGCTGCTGATCACCGTTACCATCATGAACTCAGCCGATTCCAGTTCCTTGGCCTTGGCCTTTCTATTCCCTTTACACCAGGTTAAAAGCATCCTTTCCTACACACCCACAGTCCCCAGCAGTCCCTCCCCTCTCCCCTTCCCGCCCCGCACTCACCCTTCCCTCAATGCTGGCCAGACACAAGTCGTCCAGAATCCTTTTCTGCTGCTTCTCGCACATGGCGCTCGTCCGTGACGTGCACAGGGTCGTCCGTGACGTGCACAGGGTCGTCCGTGACGTGCACAGCGTCTCTCCTGCTTCGCCGCACTCAAGCACCACTCACGCCCATCCCGTCTCTCCTTACTCACCCTTCCTCGATGCTGCTCAGGTCCGCTTGAGCTGCTTCTCGCACATGGCGCTCGCCTCGCACATGGCGCTCGCCTTGCACACCCACAAAGTTGCAACACTTCCACGATCTCTCCACAGCAGTCTCCTGCATCCGCAGCACCTCCCTTATCCTCCCCCCCCCGGCACTCACCTTTCCTCGCAGCTGGCAAGGTCCATATCGTCCAGGATCCTCCGCAGCTGCTTCTCGCACATGGCGCTCGTCTCCACGAGCTGCTTCTGGTCCTCCGTGAGCTCCGTGTGCTCAATGAACGACCGCGCAAACATGATGCCGTCCAGCGGGTTCTTGATTTCCTAGGCCCACGCCTTGCCATTCCCCCACACACCCGACTACCTGCATTCCTTTTCACACGCCCACACACAGCCCCCAACAGACCCTCCCCCTTCCCACCCCACGGCACTCACCCTTCCTCAATGCTGGCAAGGTCCATGTCGTCAAGAATCCTCCGCAGCTGCTTCTCGCACATGGCGCTCGTCTCCACGAGCTGCTTCTGGTCCTCCGTGAGCTCCGTGTGCTCAATGAACGACCGCGCAAACATGATGCCGTCCAGCGGGTTCTTGATCTCCTGCCGGATGTACGCCAGCTCCTTGGCTTTCGCCTCCGCTACCTTCTCTGCGGCTTTCTGCACCGTGAGCGCTTGCTGGAGCTCCGGGGAGGCCGTGTGGAGGAAGCAGAAGACGCCCGTGATGGCGCCCTCCGCGTCTGTGCGCTTCTGCGCCGTCAGCAGCACCTCGACAAGCTTGCCCTGTGGGAGTGGAATGGGGTTGCAATGAGGAAGAGGAGGGGAACGAACCAGCTGACAGCTTGGTGACATGGTACATTGGGACTAGATAATGCAGTGAGGAGAGGCCACGCAGCCGCCTTCTAACTAAACTAACAGGGTCCTGCAGGAAGTTCAACCCGCAAGCTAGAAAGACGCACCTGGCGATCCAGGAAGGAGAAGGGGAAGCGCTCGGTATCATTCCCGTCCATAGCGTTGTTGAGGATGATCATGAGCTTCGTCATGGCGTCGCTGCTCTTGAGGCGGCACAGCGCGCCAAAGACGTCGCCAGTGAGCATCTTACCCATCACCTCCTCGCGCTTCAGCCCCGCCAGCTTCTCCATTGCAGGGTTCCACTCCGTGCAGTACCCAAACTCTGGAGGGGTGTGGGGGAGGGAGGGGAAAGGGAGGGAGGGAGGGAGGGAGGGAGGGAGGGAGGGAGGGAGGGATGGAGGCAGGGAGGGAGGGATGGAGGGAGGGAGGGAGTGGGGGCGTAGAGCAGAGGAATCGGGGTTAGAAACTCGTCCCCACCACCTTCCCCTTCCCCTTCCTTTCCTCCCTTCACGACCACAAAAGCACCCCCGACCCATCCAAAACGCGCTCGAACGCCCCCAAAACTACCCCAATCGCACCCCAAGCGCCCCCCAAGCGGCCCCAAACGCACTTCAAACGGCCCTAACCGCAACCCAAGCGCCCCGTAAAAGCACACCCCCAACGCACGGGACCTGCTCTCGTGTTTGCCTCACCGTCGGAGCCGAAGCTGGGCGGGATGAGCGAGTGGTGGGAGCGCACGATGGGACCCCATACCCACCACAAACGCGCCCCAAAAACGACCCAACCGCACCCGAAACGGCCCAGAAACACACACCCCAAACGCCCGCAACCTGTGCTAGCATGTGGGGGACTGACCGTCAGAGCCGAAGATGGGCGGGATGAGCGAGTTGTGGGAGCGCACGATGGTGGAGTAGTCGCCCTGGATCTTGGTGAACTT